CATTGAACCATTGAATAACACTGGATGTTCACTCTACTGACAACTTATATAAAATGTTACTGTTAAGTTATGTAGGAAACAGTAGTTTTGTGTGTATGTTTTTTCCGCTGTTTAGGTTTGCTGTTTGCTTCACCAGAAAAGCGCGGGAATGTATAACGTAGTTTTTGACGCCAAGTTATATTGACGTCATGCCTGACAACAATACAAAAAGCCAGTTTGATTGGTTTTTCACTGCAATTTTGCCGTTTGCTAGTATTATCTGGTAAGATTTTCAGACAAAATGATATTAATTGTGTAGTTATATAAAAACAATATTGTATGCTGCCAAGGTAGACAGCACAACCACTTATTCTGCCGTCACTTCATCTAAACTTGAAACTAAAAATCTACGCAAAAAATATAATGTACCGTTCAGACTGGACAATTCTTATAGAGTGAAGTTTTTACTTGTGAAGATATAATGTTTCGTTTATCTTCACTGCATTAAAGATATGTTTTTATTAAATAGAGAATTCATGATATTTCACAAGTAAACTGCAATAAATACCGATACCGTAGGGTTTACCATCATATTTTTGTAGACAGTTTGCGGCCTCAATTTCCCAGAAGGCTTTAACGCATGGGGAAGCACCGGAAGTGGACAAAGTGTTTACAGATCAAACCCCTGCGGCGCTTCGCGCCGCTTGGGGGTTTGAAAAAAAAGTTAAAGTATGAAATTTGCATTTTTATTAGTTAATTGGTAGTGTAATGTGTGAACAACTAGCAAAACTGAAAGTCAGTAAACAAAACTGACTATTTTATTATCTTTTACATGCTTAGTTTTGCTTCGATAAAATTCATAGGTAACAAGTGTTACAGTGATTCAGACTAGTGAGTCATATTAACACCACCGGATAGAATTTGTTAGTAACTAGAACTGTACCTACAACCATATATGACGGTATTGTCTCCTATAATATGAAGTACTCAACCTCACAAATACCTGTTTTAACAAATGTTTGCTTCAGACAACAAATTTTTGCGAGGGTATAATCAGAACGTAACATACACACTGAATCAACTTTAACATACCTGTGTTACATATAACTTTTGTTTTGTTATGGTAGGAAGAAGCACTGGATTTGTAACTACCTCACGGGTGACCTACGCCACGCCCGCCGCCGCGTACGCCCACAGTGCTTCCCGGGACTGGGAGAGTGACGCCCTGATTACGTCAATCACAGGAGGCTGTAAGGATATAGCCTACCAGCTGGTATATGACAATAACGACATACAGGTTCGTTGTTGGTCCGAGTCCCCAGTGATAGGACTGTACGCCTGTACACTTGTCAGGTGTTTGGTTATGTGTGTTTGTGGTGTAGTGTCCTCCAACAATTATATCATACGGTTACATTTCATATGGCAATAACTCGTGAGGAATACACCAGAGGGGGCTTCGTAATAAAGTTTTAAAAAAAACTTACAATAGAAGATATGGAAAGTGTACCTCAAAAAGTATACTTCAACATCAAGCTCGTCTACAGTTTGTTGTAAACGCCAATAAAACGGAAAGTATTTATCGTCAATGTTAAAATCAAATACTGATTCAACTAACTTCCACCAACATCATTTAAAATTCCAAGCAGTTGATCAATGCTTTATCTATAATCATAAATAAACCCAATTTATGTTTAAATAACCATAGGTTACGTCATTGGAGTATTTGTTGTTTTCTGTCGCTAGGTAGTGTTGGGCGGTGGTAGGGGTCCGTTCCTGCCGGACAGACAAGTGGATCCAGAGACACAGACAGTTGGCTGGACACACAGGAAGGACGGACACGATTTGACAGAGGTTTGTACATGGTTTACGTGCCATACCTATTACTTTTACTGTGATCACAAGGAAAAAGCGTTAATTATGACAACTCTACAACTATAACTGTACGTTAATATCACACAAAACAAAACACTAGGGTATTACATTCAAAAGTTATTTCAAGTTCTAACAAGGAAATCAATAATTGCATTTAAAAGAGGATTTAATCTAACCAAAAATGAAGAATATTTGAATCCAAATTCTGCTTTACAGAATCACTCATATTATCAAGTGAGGAAGTAAAAAAACAGTCTGCGTTATCTTTATGAGTAAGAATAGCGGCGTACTCTTTAGGCCACAGTACAAAATACAGGTCGGAATGCTGTCTGCACTCCATTTACCGAAAATCGATGAAACTCAAAAAGAGAAATTTTCTTGTTCCAAATTTTCTATAATAAATTCCATAATACACGCTACCATTATTTGGATACGTCATCTTTGGCGTGTTCAACTAATTGGTTTAAGGCATGCTAAATTGATTTTTGATGAGTCCGGTATGGTTGCAGATGTTATGTACCAAATAAGTTTGCTGGTAGATGACAAACAGATAAAAGTCGAAGTTTACCCTTCTGATCAACGAAACGTGCGTAAAGAGAAAATAGTTTGGTAAAAAATAAGGACCTATTAAAACTACTTACCAATTAGCTTTGAAATCATATCAGTTATCTATAATCAAAAATATTCTGCCGTAATTGCTTAGATTGTATAGATAGTTGAGACATAACTAAAGAACGTTATTGGACTATAAAGCCTTTTTATGTTGATACAAATTAATTAGTTTCAGTCAAAATAACCTTAGGAATTATTGACAGGCGTAATTCATGTTCAGTGTTTTTACGGAAAAACGTCACTGAGTCAAAAATCATGTCGATAATAGTGAACAACGTCACTAAATCATTAATGCTATAATTGATAACACGTTCATGTCTATCGTTGTGAACCACGTCACTAAATCATCAATGCTACAGTTGATAACCCGTTTATGTCTATCGTAGTGAACCAAGCCACTAAATCATCAATGCTACAGTTGATAACTCGTTCATGTCTATCGTAGTGAACCACGGCGCTAAATCATCAATGCTACAGTTGATAACACTTTCATGTCTATCGTAGTGAACCACGTAACTAAATCATCAATGCTATAGCTATAGTTGATAACACGTTCATGTATATCGTAGTGAACCACGTCCCCAAATCATCAATGCTATAGTTGATAACACGTTCATGTCTATCTTAGTGAACCACGTCCCCAAATCATCAATGCTATAGTTGATAACACGTTCATGTCTATCTTAGTGAACCATGTCACCAAATCATCAATGCTACAGTTGATAACACGTTCATGTCTAACGTAGTGAACCACGTCACTAAATCATCAATGTTACAGTTGATAACTCGTTCATGTCTATCGTAGTGAACCACGTCGCTAAATCATCAATGCTACAGTTGATAACACGTTCATGTCTATCGTAGTGAATCACCTAGCTAAATCATCAATGCTATAGTTGATAACACGTTCATGGCTATCGTAGTGAACCACGTCACTAAATCATCAATGCTACAGTTGATAACTCTTTCATGTCTATCGTAGTGAACCACGTCACCAAATCATCAATGCTATAGTTGATAACACATTTATGTCTATCGTAGTGAACCACGTCACTAAATCATCAATGCTATAATTGATAACACGTTCATGGCTATCGAAGTGAACCACGTCACTAAATCATCAATGCTATAGTTGATAACACGTTCATATCTATCGTAGTGAACCACGTCACTAAATCATCAATGCTATAGTTGATAACACGTTCATGTCTATCGTAGTGAACCACGTCACTAAATCATCAATGCTACAGTTGATAACACGTTCATGTCTATCGTAGTGAACCACGTCACTAAATCATCAATGCTACAGTTGATAACACGTTCATGTCTATCGTAGTGAACCACGTCACTAAATCATCAATGCTACAGTTGATAACACGTTCATGTCTATCGTAGTGAACCACGTCACTAAATCATCAATGCTACAGTTGATAACACGTTCATGTCTATCGTAGTGAACCACGTCACTAAATCATCAATGCTACAGTTGATAACACGTTCATGTCTATCGTAGTGAACCACGTCACTAAATCATCAATGCTACAGTTGATAACACGTTCATGTCTATCGTAGTGAACCACGTCACTAAATCATCAATGCTACAGTTGATAACACGTTCATGTCTATCGTAGTGAACCACGTCACTAAATCATCAATGCTACAGTTGATAACACGTTCATGTCTATCGTAGTGAACCACGTCACTAAATCATCAATGCTACAGTTGATAACACGTTCATGTCTATCGTAGTGAACCACGTCACTAAATCATCAATGCTACAGTTGATAACACGTTCATGTCTATCGTAGTGAACCACGTCACTAAATCATCAATGCTACAGTTGATAACACGTTCATGTCTATCGTAGTGAACCACGTCACTAAATCATCAATGCTACAGTTGATAACACGTTCATGTCTATCGTAGTGAACCACGTCACTAAATCATCAATGCTACAGTTGATAACACGTTCATGTCTATCGTAGTGAACCACGTCACTAAATCATCAATGCTACAGTTGATAACACGTTCATGTCTATCGTAGTGAACCACGTCACTAAATCATCAATGCTACAGTTGATAACACGTTCATGTCTATCGTAGTGAACCACGTCACTAAATCATCAATGCTACAGTTGATAACACGTTCATGTCTATCGTAGTGAACCACGTCACTAAATCATCAATGCTACAGTTGATAACACGTTCATGTCTATCGTAGTGAACCACGTCACTAAATCATCAATGCTACAGTTGATAACACGTTCATGTCTATCGTAGTGAACCACGTCACTAAATCATCAATGCTACAGTTGATAACACGTTCATGTCTATCGTAGTGAACCACGTCACTAAATCATCAATGCTACAGTTGATAACACGTTCATGTCTATCGTAGTGAACCACGTCACTAAATCATCAATGCTACAGTTGATAACACGTTCATGTCTATCGTAGTGAACCACGTCACTAAATCATCAATGCTACAGTTGATAACACGTTCATGTCTATCGTAGTGAACCACGTCACTAAATCATCAATGCTACAGTTGATAACACGTTCATGTCTATCGTAGTGAACCACGTCACTAAATCATCAATGCTACAGTTGATAACACGTTCATGTCTATCGTAGTGAACCACGTCACTAAATCATCAATGCTACAGTTGATAACACGTTCATGTCTATCGTAGTGAACCACGTCACTAAATCATCAATGCTACAGTTGATAACACGTTCATGTCTATCGTAGTGAACCACGTCACTAAATCATCAATGCTACAGTTGATAACACGTTCATGTCTATCGTAGTGAACCACGTCACTAAATCATCAATGCTACAGTTGATAACACGTTCATGTCTATCGTAGTGAACCACGTCACTAAATCATCAATGCTATAGTTGATAACACGTTAAAATTAGATTCCAATGTATCAATGAAATACTTTTGCTGAATAAGGAACTCGAAGATCTGAAAGATTTCACTCTACTTCCTTGCAGTAGTATTTCTTTGATGAATATTTCCAAAACAATATATTGATCTTTTATCTTTATTTCCTTTCTTGATTTAAAACTGCAGGTTATTTATATAATAAGCGTTTGATTTCAGATATGGAAGCAGATCCAGAGTTCTAAAGACCGACGTCACAGCTATGTTTGGAAGAAGGATCAGTTTGACGCCGTAGATCCCACGGATACTGATTATCTCCTAGGTATGCTTACATATAATCGATAAAAGTTGATGATGAGATGTTTTATTTCTATATACATTGTTCGTAAAACAATACACCGAACCGCGATAGAGCATTAAAGGGTAAAGATTTTAAGATATTAAGACTCCACTTGTAAATCATACTGACATGTTCTCGTATTTGTTTCCCTAACAATTGTCTTGAGAATCAAGTTATGATTTTGCTAAAACAAACATCAAAGTACTGAAGGCACTGAAGATACAAACGAATTAAACCTTTTTTATGCTCAAATGAAAATAGAAAATGTTCTGAATCTTATTTAATGGCAAGTAGGAGTTGATTCAAATTAGATTTTGCATAAATGGACATATCTTTACAATATTTTTTTTTACAATTGAAAATGGATACATGTTTTAAGATCATATAAAACAATTGGGTCAGTGGGAAAATTGAAATTTGGTCTTCGCAATGGCAAATTCAGGTAAGAAACAAGCCAGGGTATATCTTCTTGTGTGCATGATTCATAGATCGTTTGAAGGGTCACTTTGTGTATATTGTTCAACTTACATCAAGTCCATCGCCGTCATTTTTATATCATACGACATCATTATAGATTTGCAAGTAGAATTGCATTTATTCTTTTTATACTACTGCTTCAACATTACTCGGGGTGTATAGAATTTCTCTTCGTCTGTGCATGCAACCGTCCCTACTGACTGTGGTTTCCGGACTCTGCCACTGTTTCATAAATGGGCACTGACTTTGTATATAGCTACATTATTATTATTATTATTCTCTTTATTTCCTCCTTTAAGAAGATTTTACAAACAGAATAATGTAGTTACAATGATAAATAAGATAATAAATGCAAAATCAAATAGATGGTAAGGCCAAATTAGTGCACAACAAAATTAGTTAACACAATAGGAATAGGTTAATCAGTTTGAGTACAGTTAACAAAAGAATACATGTTTGATAATGTTAATAATGAAAGTAGTATGCTTTCTTTTGGACACGGCTGTGTTTCTCATTAAATGATATACACAAAAGTATTGAATAACTATTCGAATTATGCATGAAGCATTTTTGAAATATGATTGACTGATGCCATACGAAATTCTGTTAACTCTGATGTATTCAGTTCATACGTTAGATTGCCACCAATCAGTAGGTGAAATAATTCAAAGTCTGAATGAGAGTGTCAATATACGCTAAACATAAATTCACATGTATTAATGACTTGACACCAAAACTGATTTCGTAAGTCTTCTGTACAATCACATTGTATATCGTTATACATTTGTCCACATTTATGACATAATTCAGTTTTTCTCTGAATGTCTTAGAGATACAATCAATTTTATTATACTATGTATCTATGTATGGCTTCTCTGTTTTGAGGAAATTTTATTAACAATTTATATATGATATATTATGAGGAGCCAAATTATCATGAAAAAATATAAATCTGCAGAAATCGCGGTAACTACTCACTCTCTCCTTCTATGCTTTTTCTTCATATAACTGTACATTATGCTTTAAAATTTCGGTTTTTGGAAGACACCATAATTCAAACCCATATAGGGCTGAAGCATATACATTTGATTTAAGTATTTTACTAATCGTTAAAGGATTTAATGCACATGGATGCGCACCACTTTTAATTAAGCTCATGACATGTACACCACTCTTAAGCTTAGTACATGCGCGTACTGTACGTTCCATACTATTAAAATTATAGTTCAACATCACACCAACATGTGTTATATCCTCAATTTCTGGAAGAAGATGCCTATATAGAAATAATTTCGTACTAAGATTTCGCTTCTTTTTTTCTAGAGAAATACACTATTTTACTTTTAACTGCAGAACATGTGAAACTCCACTTTCTACTGTACGCTTCCCACATCTCAAGCATGTATTGTAAGCTTTTACGTTGTGTACTAACCAGACATATATCATCTGCTTGTGTTGGTATATTAATTCTTAAATCGGCAATAAGTGCACCCTTCCCAATTTTTTTAATACTGTCTAATACACTTTTTATTAATACAAGATACATATTGGCAGACAACGCACTCCCCTGTAAAATCCCCTTCTCCCTACGGATCCATCTTGAATTTAAACCATTAAATACAACACTACTTCTTATATCTGTGTATATTGCTTTCAAAATATGCCATGTCTTTGAAATGATACCGATCTCATTTAGCTTATACAACTAATCAAATACGGTATCAAATGCCTTGTTACTATCTAAAAAGGCTACATAAACATTTTCTTCTCTTTCTAAATTATAATGTATACATTCTTGCAGATTAAATGCAGTTAACAAAACTGCATAGTCCTTTTTGATATGCTAATTGTTGCCTATTCGGAAAGTTGTTACAATTAAGAACTGATTCTAATCTTTTAGCTAAAATCATTTCAAAAACTTTAAAAATGACTGGTAACAGATTAATTCCCCTATAACTATTAGGGTCATCTTTAGGTTTTGCGTTTCCTTTGTGCAAAGTAATTATTGTTCCCATTTTCCACTCTTTTGGTATATATTGACATTTAATTACGGCATTAACTAATTTTGATAGGTGGACATACAGCAACGAGTTTCCAAATTTTAAATGTTCATAAACAAGATTGTCTAGACCTCCTGCCTTATTTGTTTTCAACTTTTTATATATATTTTCGATTTCAGATACAGTAACAGGTTCCTTCAAAAACTTGTCATCTTTTCAGATTTGGGCATCTATGTCTCTTACTGTACCCGAAACGTCATGCTTGAAACGTTCATCAAATCAACTATTATTGCAGTTGTTCTTGAAAAGGTTTTCGAAGTGAGATGACCATTTGTTTACAATGATTTTTGGGTCAATAAACGTTTTACCGTCACATGTAAATTCTGTTTGAGAAGGTCGCTGTTTCGTGGATTTGTTTCTAAATAGATACCAAAACAGGTCTTTATCTATTTCGTTTGAAACTTTACGACCCACCTCTTGGTTTGCCTTCACCGACCCATTTTGTCTGCTTAATCTCATATTTCAATGAAAAACAAATAACTGGTCATATACCTTACAGTCGGTCTAGATTCTAAAGAAGCATTAAATATTGCAGAGACAATTTCATAATGATATTTTTCTATGTATTCCTTGCTTAGATTCAATTCCTGTTCACTATTCTCAGTTTCTGTAAAATTGATATGAGTCAAATTCTTATATAAAGCTGCTCTGTAACCACTAGGGTCAGCTCTCTTCCAATTACACCGTGTATTTTATCAGTACTTTTATAATTAAATGTTACATTTGTTGACATCAGTATTGAACTTATCACTGGGACATGTTCTGACAAATTCAAATAATTCTCTTCCAAAATAGACACACTTTCTACTAAATCAAACATACTTGATTCGATAATTATGTGGTCAATAAGTGTCGATTTGACAGTCTTAGGGAAAAACTACTATGAGGTCCAAGGCACTTCTCTTGTACGTTCACCGATCATAAATTACTTCGGTTTAAAAACTTTTGAAAAATGTTCGATCTTTCATTTTCAATAATGCTACACTTAGGACCTCGAATTTTAACGTTCATGTCTCCTATGAACATCACCTTTCCCTTTTCGGAGTAAACAGAATACAGACCTTCTAGAAGCTAAACATGTTCTATGAATAATTTTATAGTTCGCGAAGAAGCAGGCATCTATGCAACAAAGCAATAAAGAATTAAGTCATCAGATATAGTTATCTCAGCCCCTACTGTTCTCGGGATGTCAATCTCTATCTATTGGACTCTGAAGGAGGATTCTTTATACAGCAGAACAACTCCTCCTCTAATGCTACATTTGTACTTAAAAGGTCCTTATTGAAAAACAGGTTTAGCTATACATCCAACACAATAGATTTAAATGTGTCCATAAATGACATATCAAATTCACGTAACCAGTGCTCAGATATCCCACAAACATTAATATTATATTTCTGAAGGCAGTCTGTTAGATATTGTGTCCCTGCCATGATGCATCCAATGTTCCAACACATCGCATTAACAATTTCAGCCATTTCTGTGTTCACTCAAGAAAATTTCGCGTGGCTGCCATTCCCTCATTCGGATTCCTTCGGGCCAGAACGACCCATCGCTGATAATATCTGCGTCCTCTGCTACTATGTTCAATTGCGCTGATGCCGTGTTTTTCCATCGTTTCTCAAAATACCTAATCAAAGTGACGCGCACATTAGCTTCCTCAATATAGCTTCGCATGGCACCTTCTGAGGATATTTGTCGGTTGATTCTATGTACGTAGAATCGCTTGATTCTCCTTATTTGTTGCTGCTGGAATCCCACAAATCGCTTTGCCATCGAATTACACACAGATGTTGGGAAATGGACCTTTATCGGGTGTTGAGTTGTCGTTTCAGCTGATACATAAGATGGATTCTCTGTATTCACGGAACGCTTCTCATTCAGAGACTCCGAATGTAACATGTCGCTCCAATAGTTTTGTCGCGTGTCGTTTCCTTGGCAGAGTCCACTAGCGTTCCGATCGGTTTTAGGATCTAGCGTGTCTGTGAAAGAATTTGCGGTTGGTGTGTTTTCCAAGTTATCCATCTGGTTCACCTGATTGTCCGAGGATGCACTCAACACACTGAATCGGTTAAACGTCTTGACGGCTGGTTATGTCTTAATCTCCCCGGTAAGATCCACACTCCTGTTGGTCATGTTGTGTTCACTCCTTCTATGTATGCCCTTCCTTATTTTGTCAACATGTCAACATTAATCTTTAGTATATAAGATGCTGTTCCGGGAATGGGCATAAAAGGCTGCATAATAGAAAGGCAATGGATCACAACCTAAAATAGGGTACAATGACCATTCTCAAAAACAATCAGCATTAAATATCTTGGCCAGTTTCATGAATGGGCTTCAAACTTTGTAGACATGTTGGGATCGAGGGTAACAGTGAAGCCCACATTTTTATTTAAACTAGCTTGATTATAATTTGAATTGATTAACACTAGTAACAGTAATTCATGACTAAAGAGTTTGTTATACATGTAGCTAACGACTGAGTGGCCATTGGTTCTGACCCCTATTCTATTTCTATTTATATCCTGTATATCCTTTTGAACTATTGAACCATGAAATGCAGTTACCGTGATGAATTTCAATTATTTTCCATCATGATGAATACATTTTGTGACAGAAGCTTGTCAAAAGAACTCTGCTTTGAAAAGGAGACATAATTGTTTAAACATTTATTGGAGCAAATGCATAAGTATTACATGAAGCATAACAGTTCAAAGTATAAAGGCAGACAGTATTCCAAGGGCTCTGTGAAAGAAGAAATAGAAAGTTCATTTTCGTTAGATAATATTGTGTAAATTTCACTCTTTTTCATGTTTAGAATACGTTATATTTATGCTAAAGATCCTGATATGGGAAGTATCAAACTATATTTTTAGTTTGCATTATTTTTGTAATTTATATATCAAATCACTCAATACACAACAATAAAAAGATCCAATAATCATACAGTAAATAAGGAAACCAGTGGGGGGTTTTACCTAAATTTTACAATAGCATGTAACAACATGAAATGTTAAAATATATCAGCATTATATTTATTTAAATTGGGAACATATTTCTCATTTTGGTAAAATAAGGCACTCTTTAGCTAGGGGAAACAGCCTGTATTCCTCATTTCGACTGTAAAACTGATGAACTAACTTTATTGATGTTTACTTAATAATTACTATTGCCAGTTGGAAGGTAAAACAATTCATAATTTTCATCAAAAATAGTCTTACGTACGAAGCGTAGTAACTGCAGGAGGATTCGAACCTGCACCGTTTATTTTCTAGTCACAAGTAAACTGCGTTACACATTCGGCTACATAGAACATATAGATATTGGCAATTACAAACTTATTTAACCCGAGAAACACCGGTCGCAGTTTAGAGAAACTTGATCACCCCTGTTTTTCATTATTTTGAGCACTTTCCCAAAGGAGGACCACTATTCCGTAATACGATTTCTTTTTACATATTACATCACGGTCACAAAGTTTGTTCAAAAGTTGGTCCTAGGATGGGAAAGTGTTGAAAGTGATTTTTTTAAGTCCGGGGAACCCCATCACTTTTATAGATATAGTGTATATGGCTATATTTTCAGTATCAAATTAGCAATACCTAATATCTCAGCAGTTTAAAAATTCATATTCAATTGGTTTTGTATTTTTTGTATGCATTTTTGCTACACGAAATGTTTTACTCCTTAATTTTTTTCCCCGTTTTCATAAATGCCGACTTAGGGATATACGAGCAGTTTTCCGCCATACCTCTTTGTTTTAATATTATGCACGCCAACTTTTATTTACACATACTCGACAAATTAATATATGTCTTTATTTAACACAGCTCCTAATATAAAAATGTATGTTTGTGTGTATATATCATATCTTACTGTGTTAATACAAGAAATGGTATTTCTTTTCACAATTACGTACTGTAGAACGTAATACATGATTTATTCCATTATAAATATTTGCTGACAATGTTTTATGCAGTTCACTTACAGAAAGACGTACTCCTTACAATGTATACTAACACTGTAACATATGGTTTCCGTTCAGGTCTATTCGACACAAGTCACATTCCTTACGAAAACGACAGGGATAAGTCTGGAGAAGGTGATCCATCCCTAGCAGAAATGACTAGCAAAGCCATCCAAATACTGCAGAAAAATAAACAGGGTTATTTTCTAATTGTAGAAGGTGAGTTAGATTTAGAACATAGAAAGTCATCATTAAATGTCCTCTTGGAAACGAAGCTTACGTAACAAAGCAAACAATCATACCAATCATTTAATTTTCTTTTGTAATATTTCAATATTAACACAACTTACTATCGTCGTTTACATGTTAACAGGCGCTCGCATTGACCACGCCCATCATGACAACGAAGCTAAACGTGCTCTGACAGAGACGTTGATGTTTGAGGAAGCAGTGAGCCAGGCTGTACGTATGACCTCTGAGGAAGATACCCTGATTATCGTCACGGCCGACCACTCCCATCCATTCAACATCGCCGGACACTCATATAGGGGCAATTACATTCTCGGTATGTAAAACATATTGGGATAATGACATCCGTATGGTATAATACTTAAATTGGCAATGATTTCCTCGGTATATAATACATATAGGGATAATGACATCCGTATGGTAGGATACTTAAATTGGCAATGATTTCCTCGGTATATAATAGATATAGGGATAATGACATCCGTATGGTATAATCCTTAAATTGGCATTGATGTCCTCGGTATGTAAAACATATTGGGATAATGACATCCGTATGGTAGGATACTTAAATTGGCCATGTTTTACTCGGTATATAATAGATATCGGGATAATGACATCCGTATTGTATAATACTTAAATTGGCAATTATTTCCTCGGTATATAATACATATATGGATAATGACATCAGTATGGTATAATACTTAAATTGGAAATGATTTCCTCGGTATATAACACATATAGGGATAATGACATCCGTATGGTATAATACTTAAATTGGCAATGATTTCCTCGGTATATACTTAATATCGGGACAAAGACATCCATTTACTTCACATAGGAGCAATTACATGCTTGGTATAAAATACTGCTTATAGCCTCGTTATACATTGCATAACTTACCTTTTCTCCATCGATTTCACCTTAATGTTAGTTTACGATATAGTCTATTTCATTCTTGATTCAGGTTATGCTGCTGTATGTTTTTAAAAACATGTCATAAGGACTAAGCTACTGTTCAAAACATTCAAAATAATTTTAAGTATTCAAAAAGAACCTATAGAAACACTTTATAACGACTTGCTCCTTTTTAAGTTGTGTGCTAATGCTAGTACAAACAATATAACATGATCATTAATGATATGACGAACTGTTCTGTAGGTATAACAACACCGTACTGGGACGAACCTCCTCTTGATGGTCTCCCTTACACCACAGTTGTGTACGGCAACGGCCCAGGACGGCGGCCGTTTCAGGACAGGACCAACTATACAGGGATCGACACCAGTAAGTCTGTCTACATCTCTAGTAGTAATCGGTACTGACTGGATCCCTGGCAATAGTCTCTAATACCTTCGTCTGAACACCTCAGCAGATGAGAAATGTACTCATCCATTAATTTTCCGCTGGTAAAATACTGATAATTTGTAATGTTAAAACTTAAAACAAAAGATAATATTTTAAAAGAATAAGATGTTATCCAATTAAATAGATGTTTTAAATTGGCACCACATTAGCTATGCCTACAATGTATATAGCTGTTCGATTCTTTTCTTTATAAACAACCCCAACACATACATGTATTCAGAATATGTTGTGATAATGCTTATGCAAAAAGTAGTATAATTTATATGTGGACTTTGAGAAAGTTGATTAAGGTACTTGAGCATCTTCAAACATTGATGATACTTCTCTTCCAATGACATGAAATACAAGAATTATTCATATGTTATTGATCTTCCAGAAAGGGAACTAACATGCTTTAAACCTTTCTCATCTTCATACTTTTAACATTTACTTAAAGTTAGATTTGCCTACACTATGACAAAATTGATCACTTTACTATCAAATTATATGATGAACGAGACGAGTGTCATTTAACGTTGGTTTACTTTCCTTTCCTCAGTAGTACTATAATGTTCCCCGACTCTCCTGTTGATGGAGTTTATCAGTCACAGTTGATTCACTACCCTTAACCTATATTTAAGAATCAGTATTTTTCTAACAGATTTATTTTGTTGATATATAAACTACTTAGACAGAGGATTTCGACCAGAGAAACTTATTAATTGTATGGTTTAGACCAAGGCATCACATCCTTCGAAAACATTAACAACCCCTTCAATAATAATAGGCCTATCAGTGCGACCTGAAGCAACCAACAAACCCAGATTTAGAGGGAAACATTATTATAAGCTCCACATGTGATGCAGGCACTCCTGCCCTCCAGAGCTCTTGGTTTCTTGTCTAATATTTTTGATCGGTTTTGAAACTATCTTATCTTTTGTTTAAGTGTCACGTAAGTCCCTGTAATGACCTTTGTATCAATTTTTGGTAGGTTTTGACCTAATACATTGACGATGTGATGCGTTATTTTTTTTATTTTCACGATTTTGCAGCTGCAGACAACTTTAAACAAGAATCTGCTGTGCCTACCGCATACGAGACGCATTCTGCAGAAGATGTCGGGATATATGCACGTGGTCCTATGGCACATTTGCTGCATGGCGTCCAGGAACAACATTACGTAGCTCACGTGATGCAGTATGCTGCGTGTGTCGGTGATTTCAAAGAGGACTGTGAGCGCCCGGATGATCGCAATTCCAACGGAGGTTACACACTGTCTGTAAATAGGGTGTTGTTCATTACGATCTGTATGATTGAACTACTAGTGATATAACTGTATATTTCGTGACATACGATGAAATGTGTGTTGTATGTATATTGTTGTATGTGTTTGTTCCTCTTTGATTTCGTTATTTAAAATAATGTTAACCCGATCCAAATAAAGTGTTTATTGATAAGCGAAAACCATTAAAACTAACACTAGTTTCTATATATTTAACGTCAGTCACTGATAGAAAAAAAATCCCGGGTCATTTGACGGGTCATAATAATTATTCTTGTTCATTCAAATGTGCTGTTTCAACTTTAAGTCAAATTTTGCCTTGTAGCGTAAATACTCACTTGTAATTCGAGGTATGGGAACACCTATTGAAACATTGCGAATCTCTATTTAGAAATTGGTTTCCAGGATATGAAACCAAACGTCATGTGTCGTAACGTCTACTCCTTATCCTCCAAATCTAAATGACAGTGACCTCTTTTTTCACCTCAAATGAACGATAAATATACTTTCCGGACCAAAGCTTTCTTTAGGCATTTATGGAGGTTCAGGAAATTGTTTCATCTATTAACGAAGAAGAGTTCCATACCAAACTATGTTACGGAAACCTATACTTGCTATCCACTGATGAAGGATTTGATTTCAAGGCCATACTTTCCTGGCTTGTTTTACATGGAGGTTCATTAATATAAAATGTCTTTTAATTACATCTCGTGTACATGCACCTTACTGCGTCTAATTTTTCTATAAACATAACATCATTGTCACCTAATTATCTTCACATCTTTCACCTCGTAACATTCAAGTCATGCATCACTGCACCCCAACAGGATACCCATTTTCACCTGTGAATGCTGACGATTTCATGTTAATAATTGGAAATATAAACCGAGGTCGTGGATTCTGTAAAACTTCGTTCAGATTTCCTCATGTAGTCACGTTTTATATTTGATTATTTACTTTTGTGACCTCTATCAATACGACGTCAGTACATGTATATGTCACCAACGAGGGGGTAACCACATCACGCATCAACAACAGTACTAAGACGGAGATGTTCTACATTAATTACTTATACGATTAGGGCATCCATTTATGCGTAAACACACCTCTCAATTACCGTACACAATTGCATGATCAATATCATGTGTCAGCTTCACATGTTTAGGAATATGTGCTTGTTATATATCGTTTTTTCTGTGTAATCATTGATAACAAACTGAAATAAACCAAGATTCAATGTCTGTGTACGTTTACTTGTTTATGTTGGTATTTGGCTATTTCAACAGTGTTTTTGGGTCGGTATTCGTTTTGTTTCTGTTTGCTTCTCTTTTTTCAATTGTTGCGCAACCGGATATAAACACATTTTCTTTCAATACCTTAATGTTGTTGTTTTTTTGTGTAAAGATACATTCCCTAACCTTTTACTGAGTGATCTTTAGGAGGATTTGTTCTGGTGAGGTAATAGGCATATTGTACAATTCGGAACCTTCCGACCTGTATTGATTCCTGTACAAGATTGTTAATGCTTTTTCGCCTTGGTAGCACTAGAGATAAACATGATATTGGCTGTCATCTTTATCATGCTTTAAACCTTTCATACTTCAATATTTATTTTTTCAATGACCAGTCCAATCAATTTTCCCTTCATTGTAACTGACCCTTATGTGGAGGATACCACTTGTTGTCGCTTATTGCCACTCACAACAACAACATCTTCAGAAGTCTTTTTGATAGATTAGTCATAAACAAAAAAAATGTGACAAGAGGAATACAGACGAACACGGGATGTTGATCGAAGTTTTAAGGTGAAAATGTATTTTTTTGTATGTTGAAAGGTCCCTTTGATACTTTAAAAGTCAAAATACAAGTAGCGTAGCTGTGCAACTGAAGTTTCAATACACGAGTACAACGATTATGTAACGCACCAAGGTTTTGGGGCGTTGCGTTCCGTCTAATTCACCGACCAGCAGGAATCCTTAAAATTATACCGGCCGCTACCGGAAATAATAAACGGGGCTTCTGGGATAGAGCACTTTTGTTCCCGACTTCAGCCAGGTAAGCAGCACTTTTTCAGCTGTCTAAATCCAATGATTTAATTACTCTATGTCGCCCATCCTTCCAGAATTCGGGGTTGTAAACGTTTACTGAACATTTATTGTTAGGTTTTT